AAGGTTTAAAGCCTCGTGCTTTTTTTTTTTGGGTACAGAAAAGGCGGGCAAGGCCCGAACTAGCAAAGTAAAATTACGACACTAAGACACGCCGTGGATGAGCAACCCCACGGGCATTATGATTCAACCATTCACCGAGCCCTGAGGGTGGTGTCGAGATCCTTTGTAAACCCAGAGGAGATGAGGCCACTATCTCCGCCAAGTGATCCGCCGCATAGTTGTAAAGCCTCGTGCTTTGATTGTTATAATAACACAGTAATGCTCTTCTACTCACGGTAGACACATGTTAATATGTCCACCGCTTATGTGTCATGATGTTAATAAGGGGCAGAAGTATATATGAACAGGAAAATTGGAACATTTTCTTACAAACAAGTTGGAAAAGAAAATCATCAATCATTGAAGCAAATTAACGCTTTTATAATTTATATATAGATAAATCAGTTTTTGGTTCGGTCCCGTTTGGTTAACCGATCACTCTTATCCAAACCGAACAGAAAACCAAAATGTTTAGAGAATGCAAATCGAAAACAGAACCAAATATTAGGTTTCGGTTCAAACCGAATTTTTAGTTTCAATTGATTCAATTCGGTTAACCGAAAGTTGTGCACCCCTATTGACAAGTATTGTTAATTAAGACGGGTTTGAACATAAAACTTTCTTTTATGCATGCAAATACTATTCATCTAATTGAAAATCAGTCCATGACGTCTAAATATCTGCGTTATATTAACACGAAAAAAATCAGGGTATTTAGTCACAATATGTCAGATAAATTTAAAGCAATTTTCCCCAAAAATGCAGTAATTTAAAATATATATATATATATGTTGGGATATTTGGCCCAGTAACCGGATCCCTATCTCAGGCCCAAGGAAGCCCCGGCCCATTCTCGACTGGGCTTGGCCCTTTACCCACTTACCTGGCAGGAATTAATTTGGACCCTTGGATTTAGGGATTAAATCCCAGCCCTCCATCCTTGCCTTAAATACCTCACTCTAACCCTAAATCAAGAGAACTCTGATCTCACTTCTCTCACTACGCAGCTGCGCCGAAACTCTCTCTCTCTCCCTGTGAGGAAAAACCGATCCCTCTCTCTTTTCTGTTCTTTGTGACTGCCACTGTGAGAGACACCGTGAGAGTCGTCGGAGTACCGCCGTCTTGCCGCCTCTGTACCGTTGCACCGTCGTCAAGCTCTAATCGCCGGCAAGAGCCCGTTGGGCTTCCAGGCGAGTCTCTTTCTGAGACGTGAGCTTAGGTGACGGGGTGACCGGGTGCGTGGCTCGTGTGTGAGGTGCAGCCCGGGGATTGGGTCGAGGAACCGGGGCTGCCGTCCCTTGGCCACCACCGAGCCGCTACTTACCGAGGGTGCCGGGCTCAAGGGCAATCTGAGCCGGACTGCGCGTCCTCTTCTCCAGTCGCCGGTCGAAAGGGAGTGTTTCTTTCCTTTCTCTTTTATTTCCACCTGTTTCCAGCTTTTACCTTGTATTTTCAGCTCCATTGTTGTTCATTACAGTAGGTTTATAGTTTATTAAATTCTGTATTTGGATTGTGGCTGAATAGGTACGAATTGGGCTGGAACGGGAGGTGAAAACGAGCGGCTGGAACCAGCCCGAGAGTTTGGACAGCATACCGGGAGTCCAGAACACACGAGCAGCATTCTGAGATAGTAGAGGGCTTGCATTGCGGTCAGACGAGTGAAAAAGACGAGCCTCCGCTGCGTACGAGTCAACCGGTGGAGCGGGACGGCCACTTAACAATATAATTCATAACTTACCGTAGAATATCCGCCTATATAACTTCAAATCGTGTAGTTGGCTATTTTCACAGTCCCAACTCCTAAGCTATGTCTTGAAAGATAATAAGATAATATGTATAATATAATAAAAATGATACTTTTTTACCCCTATTTTCCAAGTTAGATTTGAAGAACTTTTGACTGAGGTATATCATAATAAATCAAGTTTAACAGTACAACTTTTGGACAAATTAATCCACAAGGCAAAATTTAATTATTGAGTTTAATGCGATCTTATATATAGGTAATAGGTCCCTATCATATATATATATTCGTTGGAAAATAATATTTTGAATTAGTAAATTAAACCATCCAAACACTCCCTAAAGGTTATGGACCCATGGTTAATAAAATTGGATTCCACGTCATATTCCAAACACAGTATATTCAAATAAAATTCTGATGAAAATTTTCTTGGGATATTTTAATAATATATATATATATATAGCTTTTGTGAAAGAATAACAACAACAATCCAACGAAAAATATGTCGTTTAAATTAGTTTCTCATTTGAATTTTTGTTGGATTTAGATAATTTTAACGATATAGTTTTTCCAACAATTGAAATAATCAGTGAGAAAAAACCGTTCTAGCGGAAATTGAATATTTGAAATAAAATTCATATAACAATTAATCATTGAAAAAAATGTTGGAAAAATCAAATCCGAACTACAATTTTAAGAAATAAAAAATTTTTTAAAAAAAAGGCTTAATTGTGACATAATGTTGTGCATGGAATAATAGTGACAGTATGAAAATGACAAAAAAGCTTTGGCTGTTTTCTATGAATGATATTCAAGTGCTAATTAATGGCCCCTTTCATTTATGTGATCTTACGCCGAAACGCTACAGTCACGTTACGGAACTATATAGTCGTAGATAGTTGATCTAACGATTATAAAACCCGACGAAATGATTTTTTAACGGGACCGTAAAATCTTCTTTTTTTTTTACTAATTAATATCACACGAATACTAATGAATGTTGAAAGAAACAAATTTGACGAGGAGGTAAAAGATTATCATCATGCATACTCAAATAAATTGGAACCAACTCAAATAATTACCACTTTATTGGGGTCAATTTTGAGTTCTATAAATAAACATTGGCTATGATCAATTTGTTGGTATCATAATGACTACATAAAAACTGCATGTCCAAATGTTTATTGAGACCAATTATTGGTTGCCCTATCCACATATTGGTGTTAAGGCATGGAGTTTATTTCCCCCAAGTTTCCAAGAATAATTTTTTTTTTTAATTTTAATAAAATAAATTTATATAGTAATTGTAAATAAATTTTAACAAAACTCATAATAATAGATAAAATATATAAAATAAATAATCAAATGAATTTTTAATATTATAACTAATAATAGATATATAAATATTAATTTATTTATACATATCAATGTCGTAATTATACAAGTATCATTCATAAAATGAAATTAAATATGAATTAGAATTAGGATATATTTCCCCATGTCGCTAGTTGCCAAAATTGAAGAACCACTACAATTGCAATTGGGCCTGGCGTCAAATTAATAAACATAAAAAAATGGGCCGTGAGTGAACTAGTCCAATTCGTAATATTTTGAGGGCTCAGAAACAGCTTGAAGCCCATAATCCACAAATCCACCCGGCCCCCAAAATCCTCTGAAACGCGGTGCTTGGGAACTCACTCGCGGCCGTTGGCGGCGGATTAGCGACGTGGTCACAGCCATTTTCGTTATCGGAGCTCAAAATTTCGCCAACCCTGCTTCAGAACCCTATAAATAATTTGGTAATTTTGCTTTGTGGACACTCAGTTTACAGAGAAAAAGGGGCGATGAAGTCTCCGAGATGGGGTTATTTTAGGATTATTACAGGAACAATCCTTGGAGGGATGCTCGGGTTCTACTTTATGCACCGAGCTGAACTCAAGTACAAGGTTTGTAGCTTTGAGATATATGTATCAATTCTGGTTTTATCTGATCTGCGTGAAAAAAAAAGAACCTTTTTTTCTTTATTTTTGTTATTCGCAGGAGATGTGGAATGAGAGATTGAGGAAGTACGAGGAAGAAATGAACAAGAAGAAGTTGCAAGAGGCTGAGTCCAATGAGATTCACGAGTCGCTCTAATATTTGTTTGTCTCTTTTAACTCGTTCTATCGTTTTTCCTCTTATGTGAGAAATGTAGGAAATTTCATGCCGTGTTTGTTTCAATAGAGTTGACAAATAACTTCTTCGTGTAGCTGTTGTCGAGTGTCGAACGATCAAGAATCAGTTCTGTTGTTGAATATGTAAAACTGATGCTAAAAAATAAAAAATAAATAAAAAAAT